TTTTGACAAACAATGACCTTTCAGAGGTCAAATTGCTGTCAAGAATATGAATTGGCTACTTCGCAGCAATAAGAATTACCTGGAAAAATTTGTTTAATTTTACTAAGGAAAAAAAAATCCCTAATGCAACACCGGAGAAACTTAAAGCAATAGCACATAATATAATGACTGTGAATAAATTATTAATGTTAGTATCAAAAATTGATTTGCCTAGGAATTTGGTAAATTAGTATAATTTATAATTGTATTTTATTTTATTTTTTTTTTTTTTTTGGACCCTGTATGAGTGGTTGTGTTCACTTTTGGCGATCCTTAATCAAGGCTAGTGGTTTCTTTATTGTAGATCTTATCTATAAAGATTGTGTCACACTAGAGAAAATTAGGCACATTTGACAAACTAAAGCAATACTACTATGCCATGCAGCATTGCTTACAGCACATTTGTGGCAAAGCATCTAAATTGCTCTAATAAATAAAAATAAACCTTAATCTGTATGACTGTATATTTCAATGAAAGAATAGATCTTTGATCACTGACACAACTAACAATGAATCAGTTTACAGATGTTTCACTTGAAACATCACAATAATAGCAATAGGACAAAAGCTGGTTCTTAAGTAGGCTCTCAGTTGTCTTGTTTATACTGTACCATGTACAGCAGATCAGTTAATTTGCCTATTATTAATTTACATAGTTATAGTCTGTGTTAAAGAAAAACACTTTGGAAAACTTTTGGATTGAATACTTCGTATTACACAAGTTATTACCTTTTAATTGAAAACTAAAATCATCCAATTAACAGACAATACCGTTGGCATAGTCCACAGATTAACTGGTACATAATTTAAGCTGGTATGTAGTAATGTAGAGGTTTGAAAATCAGCGAAACCTTAGATGTTTTGATCCTTGTATCATTACAAGTTACTAGCTTATTTCATCCTTTTAGTAGCTATTACTTTATTTCATTAATATTTTTAAAGGTTTTCCATATTTTTGACAGGCATTTTAAAACACATAAAAAGTAATCTGTCTAGTAAAGTACTTATTTTAGTAATTGTGTTCAGATACTGTAGAACCTAATAAAAAAATGTTGATTTTGCTGTATGTTGGCTGTAAACTTGTGCTTCATAGTTGTTTCTAGTTACTTCCCAGGTAAAGTGTTCATTCAATTTTTTCAAGTTAATATTGACATTGCTCACATGTCTGAAATTATTAATTAGTGAATGGTTAACTAATTAGCATTGCAGGATTTGAACCCTGAATTCTGGAATTAGAAGACAAGCATCTCAACCACCAAGCTACACATCCACTCTAAATTTATATGTATAAAGTCCAGTTCTCTTACAAAAACAGTATCAAAGTAGAGGGTAGTGAATATTGAATATTAGGCCCAGCACTACGGCAATAATACTATCTGCTACAAGTGTTTGTATTTACTATATACATGCATTATACAAATACAAATAATGATAACAATTTATGTTACAACACATACAAATCTAAAATTCTTTCATGGATTAATACCAAGAAATCAAGTGCATTTTACTTTTTAATCTGATCTCCAAGCAAGTTTGGGTTTGTAAACATTTCTTTAATTAGCAGTGGATTAAGGTTTTCTATAGCAACAGTATGTTGTTGAAATTACCTTGAACTCTTGAGATTCTAATATTATTGAGACAATGCAAAATGCACCTTATAAATCTATTGATAGACTGAATGATAATGAATTATAAATAACTAATTGCAAATTAATAAAAAGATAAGTAGTACATACACTAATCTTGACAACTGTTGTCTTTTAAAGTTTTGATTTAAGCTGATCTTACATAATATGAATTGATATATAATTTAATACAACACTATTGAGATATATTTTAATACAGTACAATCTCAGCTAGAAATTTAAATTAAAATTTTAAAATTGGTTTTTATATTCTTCTTACAATCTTGTACTAAAACATATCTATTATGTTAAATAATTTAAAGACAGGCCTTTCTGCCCTCTATATAACCCAAAACGAAAAAAAGCCAGATACAATATTTTTAATAAACAAAACCAAACTTGTCGGGAGAACAAATCATCGAAACTGAATAAAAAATATTTGCAGGCTCACCTTTAATCGCTTGGATGATTTCCTGGTTAAGTGGTTGACGATTAGGATTTTTGGAATGCCCATGATCAGTCGCTTTACCCATAGCAAGCGTTTCACGATCAAAAAATGCATCCAATAGACGACGTATGCATAATGACCAAGGATTTCGAGAACATTCTCGTGAGGCCTGTTCGATGTCACCCAACCTACGTTTGCTGATAAATACATTGTAACCTTCAGCTAAACGCACTGTATCGACATCAGGCTGCAACATGGAATAAGAGAGTTAGTATATGGTGTAAATGATGTATGGCAGGATACATTCTTTATCAAGCACTGCTCTAAAAGAAGATTATTCTTGATAGCAAATAATGGAAAAACTGAATGACTAAAATGAAAGCAAATGTGTGTAGAGGGCCCCAGACTTGTAATGGTACTTCTTTGAATAAGTAAGGATTTATGATAATCATAAAGCCATTGCAAATGCGGTTTAACTGAATTGCCTGCTGTTGTAATGACATATCTTATAAGACTAAATATTCATTTAGTATTTATAATTTATTAATGTTTCATCCAATTGAACTCTATATGAAAATGTTAATTTTTTGGTTAAGTTCAATAGTTCATTTATTTGTTTTAAAAATTAAAGTCAATGTTTTATTTATGTATTCATAAAATTAGGGTCAATCAATTATAAAAATAGTAAGTAAGTGATAGTGAGTAAATCAATGCCAAAAAATACTTAAAATCAATTGACCTACAAACCCAAAATCATTAGTTTTAGAGCCAAATAATAATCCTCTTGCATTAAAAAATTGATTATGCAGTGTTTCATATCAGATAATCTAAACAGGCATTTATATCATGTTTAGGTGGACTGTTAATTACATATTCAAGTTCGTATCCACTCAACATTCCTCTGCATTCTTTGCAATCATGTTTTTAAAGACAACATCAGATTTGTCAACCTTATTCTATACTTTATCCAATTTATAGAAACAACAGCAATCCCTTGAAACTTACCCCAGAGGTTAGGTCAAAATAACATGGAAGTCCCTCATTATTGTACTTAAGCACGCCCCCAACCCCTACAGCATCGGGGATGATTGGCATAGGTACGTCACGACTAGGGCCTGGTTGATTTATGTCCATTGGTAATGATTCTTGCTTTACTGATTGGTCACTTTCTGCATCTGTAATAATGTAATCATTAAGGTTATCATGCATAACGTACTAGTACTTTCTTTCATTCAACAGGTTAAAAGGTTTTATGTAATTATGTAATATTCATTTGAAATTCTCTACATTTGAGGTATTCTTGTTTTAAGTTGTTCTGTCCATCTTGATTGAAAAATGTAATTAAACTGAAAAATGTTTTAAATGAATATACAAATACTGTAGCTTAAGAGGAAAATTTAGACAAAACATTTCTATTGTATAATTTCTATTTCTAAGCTACTTTAAGTCTATTTACAAATAGCTTAAGGGAAATTTTAGACAAAATACAATTATTCACTAGTATCATGTATATTTACTTACCTGCAGGAATTTCCACAACTTCAACAGCCCCTTCACTTTCAGCTCTCGCCGAGAGACTCTTCCTGGCCTCATCTGCAAGCCTAGCTTGGAAGTCCCTCCAATTCCTCTCCTGTGAGGCACTGTCGTCTTGTCCCTGGTGAGGTGATGGGCTCCCGTCTGTTGGGGTAAGGCCCGTCCGAGGTGCCAACGACTGAGTTGATACAATTTGTGGTGTAACAGTTTCCATACTCTCTGATGGTGCATCCACAGTCATCACTTGCAGTGATTTGGACGAGACAATAACCGGACTACTCGATTCCCCGGTACTTGTGGTTAATGGATGCGCCTGAGTGTGCACACTTGGGGGTAAGCTGTGATTACTTGGTATTCTACTTTGACTACTACTATGTCTTAAACTACTTTCATTAGGGACAGACTGCATTGGGTGGGCATGAGCTTTCTGTGACTGCAGTAACAAAGGTGAAGGACCATGTATGCTACCACGGATGTTTGAGACTGGTGGGTAAACCTGGCGTATGTGTGTCTCTATGGCAGTAGAAAAATTGCTAATGTTCATGGCTGCCATCCTGGACGGATCCACATGGTGGTGGACATTGGCAGGCATATTATTAGTCCTTGTAAATGATTCACTTGGCAAAGTGCTAGATATTTCAGTGTTCTTTTGTGTACTTATTACTCTACTAGGATCTGATTGCATTTCATTGGATCTCTCTTTGGCCATTCTTTGAGATAAATTCCTTTCTTCTGGTGTTTCTGATACTCTTTCCTTTTCTGAGCTCTGTCCACCTCCTTTTCTTCCATCATCCATTCTCCTTTTCTTGTGCCGCCTTCGTTTACGCCACTGTCTTTCTACATTTCCGTGCATTATGCTTCTGTTTTGTGATCTTGGATGCCTATCTTTGGTTGCATTCTCCTGTCGACCGATATCTTTACCGCTTTCCGTAACCCGCCAACCTGGGCGTTTCCGTTTTGGTTTATGGTATAAATTTCTCCCTCGCATTCTTGAGTAGAACATAGGTGGGGTGTGTACATCTGAAATACAAATGAGTGTGCTTGTAGTACAAGGGTGTATGTCCCTTGTATTTCAATCTGGCCTAAGACATGTACAACTTCAAATAAAGCAGCATTTGGGAAAAAACAGGCCTACAGTATAGCAAGTTAAAAGTCAAAAGTTGATTGGAAAATGCCTCTCAAAAGGGAATTGGCATTGAAATTGTGAGATTAAACTCACCCATATTTTTCCATGTATTAAATTAACTGCTTTTGTTGGAAACCAGTGCGACACTCACAAAAGCAGCTGATTATAAAACCATTCTTAAAAATGAATTGATAAATTAGTATTACATTTTAAATGAAATGTTAGAATGATTTTAGAAACTGGGACAAGAAACTCACCCATTTAAAATCTTGTTGTCTTGCATTAAATTAACTGCCTTTGTGGGAAAATCAGCGCGAAACTCACATCACAGCGAATGAAAAATATTGGCATTTTAAATAGTCCTACCTTTAGTGATTTTGTTTTCAGGGATAAAAATCGATGAAGTTGTACATATTTGAGACCAGATCTGAGATAAATTCTATAAAATCATATGAAAAATACATATCTTCGGAAAAGAGACAATTCCCTTTCCAAATTCTGAAAATTGAGAAGCAGGTAAATATACAAAGTATTCCTTGAACAGTACCAGAATACTTCCAGAAATAATCACATCAACATTACAAAAGCAATGATATTTTAAGATTCATTCACTAATCTTGTGAATAATTATTTTAACTTAACAGTATGCTAGGGATTTACTTTCTCAATATTAAAATAAAAGTTTCTGTTACAGTGTTTATATTTTAAAATAGTTCATAATTCATAATAAGATCTATTGGTAAGTTAGAAAGGACTGCTCTTCTAGAAATGTTTTCTAGTAATTAAGAAATTCTAAAATCCCTTTCCATGTATTACAATGGTCCTTATAAAACCTTTCTTCAATAATTAAAATAATTAATAATAATAATAATAACAATAATAATAATAATAATAATAATAATAATAATAATAATAATAATAGTTTATTCTTATATAGCGCAAGTAAGCAAGCTCTCAATGTGCTGTACATAAAAAACAGAATAAGAATGTCATGTTAAATTAATAAAAAAAACTCGATGAAAAAAGGTCTTTAGCTTGGATTTGAATTAATCTACAATTATTTTATAGCAATCGTCTTCCACCAGTTAATGTGTGCATATTGCATCTTCATCTAGTTATTATCAATAATAATTTTGTGCTTGAAGTCATGTACTTACCATCTGATGTATTTCCAAGGCTTTCTTCAGAGTCCGATTCTGACATTGATGGGTAATCCAGATCGCCATCATCCATACTGAAGGATGGCCTAAGGTACCCACTTAAATGCACCATACCTACACAAATATAAAACAATCACTGCTCTTAAAAGCATTCTTTAAGGCAGGGCTGGGCATAATAATCAGTCGGAGTGCCAAAGTGAATTTTCGATTTAACATCAAGGGCCGCACCCAAACTTTGATGTTTCCAGTGACCTTCCAAAGACCTCCAAGCACTGTTTCTACACCACTTTATTCTGAGTTTTAATGTTACTTTTACATATGATATCGGTGTCGGGCCTTACAAAACAAGGTGTTTTCTAGCCAATGTTGTTCGGCGGGCCGCACACATAGGGTTTATAATGCATTTTTGGGGGCCGCACTTTTCCCACCTGTGCTATAAGGTCTATGTTAACATGCTAACTGCAATAATAAAATAGGCTATTTATACAGAATACTGTATATTGCAAGAAATGCCTCTAAGGCCTTAACATTATTGGCCTTGTTCATAGGATCATAACACCTTTGTTGTACTGCCTAGATTACAAGCATGTACAACTTCAATACAAAATGCTCAAGTTGGCTATTCTTTTAGCAGCTAGGGTTCTCACCAGCATTTCACCTGTACAATGGAACATGAAAGAAACACAACTCATTGATAATGAAAAAGGAATTATTGACACCTCAAATAAAACCATACCTTTTCCTTCCATGAAAAAAGTGACCTCTTCACCTTCAGAGAAGCAAAGGTTAAGGGGTTGTTGGTGAAGGTGGCCATGTTGTAAAGAGCACAGGAGGAACTCTGTGCGATCATGTCTCACCATCACCTGAGCTAAGCCTGTTGGTTTGGAATCTAAAAAAAGAGAAATACATAGTCTTAGTATGACATTAAATGACTTAAGATATCTGAAGATAATTATATCTGAAGCATATATTTGAAGTACTAAACTGTACAGCAGTTTAATATGAGCATAGACGTGTAATTCATTCCATTACTGTAAATCAGCAACTCCACCTTACAGAACCTATGAATTATATATAACAGCTAAAATAAAATATGACAATTTTGAAAGTTGATGGGTTAGATTTAAAAAAATATTTATAATTTTTTAATGAGCACTATCAAAATAGGCTCTGGGAGAAAAAAAAAACAATGTTAACGCAATGTTACGTACAACTGATATTTATAAAACACTGAAATGATGTTTGATGAAGATCACAATGCATATAAGATTGCAGGAATGCAATAATATGTTGGAACAATGTAGTAAATTGTATAGTAGATAGTTTAGTAATATTACATAAAATCAAGTAAACAAAATGCTTCATTGTTCATCACATCCTACATTTGCATCCATAATAATACACAATAACACAGTAGAAATACCTGCTCCATGTATTGGATATGCAGTATTAATGATATACAGTATCAAATGTCTTTGCACAAGACCAGACACACAACATAATGATGTAGCCTGCATATATTCATGTTGGAATGCATAATCAATGACACCACTACATGTTTTGGCTGGGCACTAATTTGCCTTTGTTGTTTGCTTCTTTTTTGTTTGCATTTTGCTATGAAAAATATTCCATTGTATATGGTACTGTGCTTGATATTACTGTGCTGATACTGATAACGCACCATTGTGTTGGTGAATTGCTTTTTGAGTGTGCTCCCTACCAGTATGCTCTTTGTTATCAGCTTTATGTGTATTTTCCACTTGTCTATGAATTTCTCAGATGATCCCTAATATACTGGCAACACAAGCTGTGAGCATTCTACAAAGCTCACACCAAGTGCCACCATCCCAGCAACAAGCCTCATCTGACATTAGCCAATCACAGACGTGCCTGGCAGCCATGCCTAGGATGTGTGGCCCATTACACATGCAAATGTATTGCACATGTGAAATACATTGTGATAAGGTCATATGGGTCAAACAAACAGGCTTGGAATGGCTGTGGAGAACCAACGAATGGAGAATGATACATGGAGAACGTACTGTAGAGCAGCCATTACTGTATCTAATTTATTAATGAATTCATGAGATTTTGGCATGAACTTCTTATAAAAAAGAATCAAATAAACTTTCAACTCCACATTTTATGGATACTTGTGTGTAGGCGTATATATTTATATGACAAAAATATATTACTTTCCTATTATTAATTTTAAGACTTTTTTTCATATTATTGTTTTATGGTTCATATTTTTTTTTATATGCATAGGTTAATCTAGAAATACCTTGAGAATTATTTTTATTTTCATAACATTTTTCAGTCAGAATTTTATTTGTTTAATTGTGCAATAATTAGTTAAGGTTGTTAATTATTTATATTTTGTATTCAATTAGACCACAGTCTGTGAAGGCCACCAGTACAGACATGTAGTGTCACCTAATAAATAAAAAATTACAAGGGTCAATATATTCATCACACATATCAAATACTGAGTGACGCATTAACATACTTTGATTTGATTTTAATTTATAAATTCTTTTTAGGTAAATGTATTGTACAGTACTATAGGGTTTCTTTATTCATTTTATTCCAATGCATTTTAAGTAAATAACGAATAAATCAATTAAAAAACTATGCTTAATTTTTAACTTGTTTAATATTATTAAAGTGAGGATGTTGCTTAATTTTAAATATATTTTTAATTTTCAATTATCTTTCAAAATTTACCTTAATGTTTTCTAAGACACAATAATTTATCATAATGGCCTATACAGTATGCTATAATTGTTTTTACCTTCTAAATTTAAATGTAATATTTATTACTAATTTTTGTTTTGTTTTTATTTTATTATCTGTAAGCAAAAATTTAATTTGTATGACAAAGAAGATTATTACAAGTTGTCAAAATCACTCGCTAATTATTCTGCATAATTTATATAACAATAGTAACTTTGGATATATATCTAGTGATAAATAGACAACTTTGGATAAATATCTAGTGATAAATAGACAAAAATATATTGTCACACCAGGATTCGACCTGCCTTTGAGATGCTCTACTAACCATGAAGGCAAATGGTATACATCCTTGGATTTCAGTGAAAAGAGGAAGTTTTTTGTACTGTAATACAATGAATAACACAATAACTGACTGCATAATAATAATAAAGACAAATTCAGTCATTCATGTATTCTAGATTTATTACACTATAAAAAGTTGGTCAAACAAAACAAAAAACTTCAAACTGCATTTAATTTAATGTTAAGTGATTAAACATTTGTGATACATTTCCATTTGTTGTCTCCTTTTTTGGAATCATGGTGGCGGGGAAACAACCATCCAACTGAAACGGCTTTGTATGAGTTGTATTCATATGCCGTGCTGTGTGCAACAGGATCGGCCATATAATATAGACTGTCATTTAACATAATTAAACCAGCTCTATGCTGTTTTCTATTTGGTTTACTGTGTAATACTGAGTTGACCTTTGACATTTCTGGAGCAGGTGCAATTATGCAGCTTTTCTTGCACTGCTATGTTATTCCTTAAAAACCATAACATACATATCATATCTCAACAATTAAATTACTAGAACTGAATATATATTAAAATAAATTTCAAATATTTTAATTCATCAAATTACAATTACGGTAAACATAAGACAAGAGTAACTATTACATGCCTTAAGTTGTATTAATTATTTTGAATCTTTCATCTTTAGGAATACAACCATTGTAGTACTTTAGCATGCTATAAAAAAAAATTAGGATATTAAAATAGGCTACAATAGGCTACTAAACACATTTGGGATATTCCAGGATCCAGTGTTTAAAATATTTTTCTTTACACAGTCATTATATCAAGATGGATATATTGTATTTTAAGTCAAAATTAAATAAGCTGCACATCATCTGGCAAATAAGATAGTAAATACATACTCCAAGTATCGAAATGCACGCCATCGGGATATCTGAGATTAATCAGCGGACCTTTCGGTTTTTTCATCTGGCAATCTAACATATTAAGAAAACCAAGCTTGCTTTTTTTAGAACATGTGTAGAAAGCATCCTTCTATGGAAGACAACTCCCTGATGGAAGTGAAACTTGGAGCATGAATAAAGACCTTCAGACTGACTTGATGGCACATACACCTGGTAGCTTATGAGTACAGGTATGGTACGGGACCAAAGTGTGTATGTAAATCGGGGGATTCGTCTGGTAAATTGTTACCAGTTAAGGCCAACTCAGACAGCAGCCCGACCCGATTTGTTGTCGCGTCGGGTCTGTGTGAGTTAAACGGAGACGCGATGGTGTGCGTCGGGGCAGTTGAGTCTTAGAATATTAAACATGTTTAATATTTCTCACGACGGCTTAAGACTGTCCCCGACGATAAATCGGGTCGGGCTGCGTCGGCCGACGCTGTCTGAGTTGGCCTTAAGTTTTAGGATACTTCATGGGTTAGTTTCCTTATTTTCTTTTTTTTTCACATTCTTCAAAAACGCTTTGGGACTAATAGCGTACTGTATTATTAATTGTATAAGGTGCTATACAAGTAGATTTCCATTCCAGTTCCATTAATCAAATATTTATTTGATTTGAATTGAAATACAAATTATGATATGCAAAATAACTCGCTGAGACATTAAAAATCTTTGGCTAGTGAATGCGGAAGTAAACACAAGCGGCTAGCGACGTCGCACTGCACGAATCGACCACATGACAGGGAGTAAAATTAAGTCCAGACTCCATTTATTTACCGTAGTACCATTATCGTTTGTTATGTCTAAAAGGTCTAATACTGCAAAACAACTGGCTGAGACACAGCTACTGAATGCAAAATCAAACACAGCAAACGGTCCATTGAAAAAAGTTGATTAAAGTTATTATTTTATAATCAAATAATCTTAAATACGGATTGATATTCAATTGTGTCCTCGAAAATGGTAGATTTCAAATTCCGAACATATATCACTGCTTTGTTCGCTGCGGTTACTTTCTATCATGAAATCACGAAGCGAGCAATTTCAGACAGAAAATTTCATTACTTCATTGCACTTTCAGGGAGGCAGGCCTAAATACAGTAAGTGATAAAATCTGTCTAATAAGGGCCAATAAATGTATAGATTTCATGTTTCCTATGATTGACATTCCCTGTCCCGATTTCCAGTAAACTCCTGCAACTTGTGGGAATCTTGGGACCCTCTTTAATTGTGCAATAAAGTTCTTAAATTCAGTAGGGAGTAACTGCCCATGACAGTCAGCCGGCTATGCAGGTAATCATGAAACACAACAAATACCATGTGCTAAGTAACACCCAGAAGTTACATTTTCCACTGTGATTGGAGCAGGTGAACTTGACCTGGTAGATACAGTATGTTGATAAATGCTTATTACAGTATTTCAATTGTATAATATTGTGTTAGGCATATACATGTCATGGTGTGCAGATGCCAAAGTTGCAATTATGGTGGGTGGGGGCCACCCAGCCTGTGAGTTTTCCACCTAGTCTTAGGCCAATTTCATGGATATGGTATTAAAACAACTACAGTTTTCTGACTACAAATATTGATGAACAGGTTGTCAATATTTTCATAAACCTACTCCTCTCACCCTCCCCTCCCAATTGTTTAAAATGATAGCATAACTTCAAGATATAAAAAATAAAAGTGTTCTTATTAATTAGTACAATCATTTTTCCCATTTCTGCCTCATTAAACATAATTATAAGGTATTTAGCGACTCCTATAAAATGAAAGATAAGCTAAGTAATTATTCAAAGTAGGGAACAAACATCCCTGTAAAGTAAATATGGCAGGCATATTAATTAGGGCAGTAGGCTACTTACATTGCATAAATTGAAATCACTAATAAATGTCATTAACATTCTCCCTAATGTCAAAAAATGTGGATTCTCTCTAACCAGTATTAACTTGTGTGTTAGTCTCTATGTTAGTACATGGAGGTATAAACATATTATTTTATACCTCCATGGTTAGCACAATGTGAAAACAGTGCACACAACTACAGAGAGTACTGTTGTATTATCACTCAGGGAACTATACAATAAAAAGCGTATTGTTAGCCTTGTATACCTCTTGCCAACCTCCCCCTACTGGGGATCATCATACAAGAATAGACTAAAAAATCCAGTGACATGGGATATAGTTTCTTTGTTCAAAAACAAAAAAAGGTTTTTAAATGTAAAATCTATGAATCTGAATTAATTCTTTATTATTAAAATATCAATTCTTACCAACACCGGAAAATTCTCTCGTCTCAAGAGCAGCCATTGTGACATTGAAAGTTTCATTCACTATTTGGGAATAATGTTTACCGCCCTCTATAGACAAACCTGTGAAAAAAGAATTGAATTTAAGAAGTTTAGCTTTTTACACTTTAGAGAAATTATTTAATAGATCAACAAATTTCTATACTTTAAACTACCTTTAAATTTATTTCCTCTTGCTTTTGTGATGTTACTACTACTAGTCTAAATGATGCAGTGGACCTCTTACAAGGATACTGTCTCCTGAAGTAGTCCACGGCATGGACTTTCAAAGAAATCCACTTCATGGACAAATGCTAGAGGAAATATAAACTGCCAATTTTATCCACTGCTCTCCTTGTATTTCAGCTGAAGGGCTAAAATGTAACAATTAAAAGAAAGGGCACTGCCTAAGCTTTCAGAAGAGATATTTAATCCATTGTTCCTGTGTGCAATATGATCCATGTACATGTGTCAATGAACACAGTACACTTTTCTGAAAGAGTAAGGGATTGTCTCCCAGTTTCCCAATCACCAATAGAAGAACCACTGACTGGAAATAGGTCTTCAGATTTCAGGTTATCCTTGGTGTTCACACCAAATACATTCAATCCAATTTATCATGTTCTTATTGCTAAAAAGTTACAAAAATAGATACTGAATGAAAGACCTGAAGCACTTACAAAGCATTATCTCACATTACATCACATAATAGCATGGTTCACGTCGAACTTTTATCTAGATATACATCCACTTAACTAGTTAAAAGTTTGACGTGAACCACTCAATTATAGCTAGATAAAGGAATTAAGTCACATAAGTTAAGTGACTTAACTTCACTAGAATAACGGTAAATTTTTGCTTAACAGTAAAGTCGGCTCGGATTACAAGGACACGATTACGTAACATAGGCATCTAAGCCAGCGTTGTTGTATTGTACCACCATTATCATCTTCTGGCTGGCAACAACGTACTTTAACAATGCTAACAACAACATCAAAGTAGTCTCATTAGTCTGTTTTTCAGAAATTATTTGTAATACTATGGGTAAAAACCCAGCAAACGTCCGTTTTACGAATAGTCGAAATAACCAATGACCTTTGCCCTTTGCATCATCGACCAAATAATAACCTTAAAAAGTCCGATTGGGTACGTTTTTCAAAGTGACAATGTATATTTTTCTTAATAATAAAATCAGATTTGTTGTATTTATTTATTGACAATTCAATCTTTTCCATTTCTGCTATAATAGTCGCTATTAATTCAATTTCAACGAACTACCACCAACGCCAGTTGTTAAACTGAGCGCACATGTTTACGATGACGAAATAAAAAAGTGTGTAGAAGTCAGCAACTTATTTGACACTGCGAAGCTAGATTTTCGCGAAGTGCATGTAAACAACACAATTGAGCGATCTAACTACAAAGCAGGACAGAAAGGTCCATAAAGTATACACACGTTTTAATGAAAATGAAAACAATATTTTGTTAAATGGAAGAATGCTAGCTAGCGATTAAAATAATTCGTTTTTTATCGAAGGTAAATGTAGCTAGGGCCTAGAGAATCTACTACTTAGATTGCGATAGAACACGCTGCTGCACTGGTC